AAAAATAGATATCGACCAGTATCTTGCCTTACTGTTAGAGTTCCATCGCAACGGTATTCACTTCGTGAACGTCTCGGATCCCTCAGCGACCAACAAGGCCAGCACCGATATTTTCTCTATGGAAGTTGACTCCTGAGTTCTACCGCTTCACGTACCAGCCTGTAACGTATCTTCCATTTTTTTCTCAGCTGTTGTGTTATTAGTGGGCTGTTCGATTGCCCTAGTATAGTAAACGAGCTCCGGTAGCCAGTCCTGATGGCGAAAAGTGCTGTGGATCACATAGTGGCTTCCTGACGACAAAGTGATAGGTTAAACTCATTACGTGAGGGACTCCAATGACTCTCAAGTCATCGAGGGTGACCACTCTCGCTGAGGCTTCAACCAGGGAATTGATATAATGATTCCACATTGCTGTTCGAGGCCTGCTGCATTAACTTGCAACTAGAGGGGCGGTTGTGCTGCCGCAGTACCGACAGTTAAGGATGGCTCCTCTGAGATGAGTCCTCTCGTCGTGCAAGATTGTCTTTTACATCATTACCATCCGTGGTCGAGAATTCACTCTGGTCGGCACCAGATCAGCGCTAGTGTGGCCAGCACTACAGGTCGCACTGTAGTGTGTGTCATAAGTGTATAACGCTTGGATTCCCAGTTCAACAGGCACTGTGAGTCTGAAGGCAACGATTATCGCTGTGAAGTGTCGTGACGCTGTCCGAGGGGAATTGCTCTCATGCAACATGCATGTCTGTGTGGTATACTCTTCTCTCATCTCGTTTTGGCTGTGATGGCAAGGTCATTAAATTAATGACATTAATGAACGGAAAACGACAGCGGCAGGATTCGAACCTGCGCAGGCAGAGCCTAGTGGATTTCGAGTCCACCTCCTTAACCACTCGGACACGCTGTCGATGTCTTCAGTGATTTCACTGAAGGTCAGCACCTGAAAATACCTGAACAAGGAATGATCGGAGGTGGCCTTCTACCCATGAACCTATTATAGATGTCGTGCCAAGCGATCTCATATGTCCTCAGCGTTACTGTCCATCCAGTTTAGTGGGAAATCCCATGCACAGAGGAGTGGGACAGGCAGACGAGAATGATACGGGCAGGAGTGGCTATAAAACTTGTGGTTTCTATGAAACCGTAGCCCAGGCAGGTTATAACCCTTAAACTGGAACCCGGGCGAGCGCTAACTCCACTGCTTGGTGGGTTTGTTCAACAAACTTTGTTGTAGTGGATTGTAACAATTCTGGTGACGAAGAATACTTCCATTCAACATTCAGGGCCGTGGGGATCGTCGTGGACGAATCCAAGTAAAAGGGGGCCATCATGGTCCCCTTTTACGCCCTACAAGCAGCCCGGCCCCTTTTACATGGCCCGGTCATGGCCGCTTTCAATCGCGGAGTAATTTGCATCAGCCAGGTGAGCCTGCCCGTTAACTGCTCCACCTGAGATACCGCTACCCGTCTACACGGTAGACTCTACCGGGGGCAGAGACGAAGGAGTCCAACTGTTTCAAGAGAGCGAGACGTTTCTTCTGAGCCTCAGGACCTGAGGCACACGCACTGAGCGAGACTTTAGATCTCACTCGAATCCCAGATTATGAGGTGTGCATGATACACGAGCTGTGGGGTGGTGGATTATACCTCATCCAACCACTCAGTTGCGATATGTTACTTGATCACTTCGTTGTATGTCTTTTCTCAGCCTTTTGTTTATTAGCCTTCCACAATGCCCAAACGTTGGTCCTCCAACAACTTCTACAACTACAACAACCATCAAGCCCGACGCCAACGACGCAACAGCTGGCGTCGCAACAGCCAAGGCCAGGGCGGACTCAATGAGAGTCTGCTAATGGCCTTTGCTGGCTACAACCGGACTCTTCTACGCGAAGTAGCCTGGTCTACTCCTACTGCCAGTTTTACTACTATGGCTAGTCCTACTACTACTACTACGCCCAGTTCTACTATTACGGCCAGTCCTACTACTACAGTGAGTCCTACTATTACCAGTTCCATTTTTTCGAGAGTTAGCCCATCCATAGTAGTCGTGGGACCTTCTCCTTGGATACCATTTCCTCCAAGAACGCCACTTGTTTTGTTTATGATAGGGGCTACCATACTGCCAATGGGAGTGGTTGTAGTAGCCTTGGTTGTAGTCGGAGTTAGCATAGACTCGTTCACCAGCAGCAGAGTCTCCGTTGGACTCCGTCTCCTTGACGCCATCAGAGCCAGTACAGAGGATGTAAGTTACATCATGTAACAATGAACTGATTAACGTTTAACTGATGAGAGTCACGACGTGACATCGGTACTATCTACCGACTGGTCGGGTTACCAACATATATGTTTCATCAGCATGTTAGGGGTAATATTGAGCCGTCGGGATGCCGTTCGGCCGTCCAGCAGCATCGATATTTGATTACTTCATCGAGTCATTGATGATTCTGTTACAGTTGTTGGTGCTTGAAACCTACTAGCCGACTAGCAAGCTAGAGGATCCCGCGATCCAGGAGATCTTGAATTCAATTACCCTTCGTCTCTCTGTCCGAGGCCTTGCGTTACCTAGTTTCAGTGCCAGGATTCCACCCGCTCTCACAACATTTTCAGTTGTCAACGGAATCTGTCAATTGAAGTCGATGATCTTTCTGCAGGCTTGTTCCACGTTATGTCTGTTCTCCTCGACACTACTGTAGGAGAGATAGTAGTAGACTTGGAGGTTAAGAAGGCGCCCAAGACTTGTGAGAACTTTGTACTAATGGGGCTGGAGAGTTCAAGGGGAATGCTATGGGTGATTTCTTAGGTCAAATTATGCAAGCTGAAAGCCTACAACAATGCACTCATCCATACTGTACAAGCGGATTTTATATGCGAAATCGGTGACCCGGGGGATAATACATGTGCAGCCTATCGATTGGCGAAGATGAACGGAAAAGAGGCACCGAAATTCGTGGACGATGAAATTAGGCCAGATTTGAAACACGATAGGATTGGTAATAATAGGAAATGCGGGGTGTTGGTAACAGTGAAATGGAAACAGTGTTTTTCTACTCCATCGGGTTGTATCCTTCGCCGTTGAAGGTACCGTGGCTATGGCATCGACTGGTCCTGGTGAAAATGGCATGCAGTTTTACATCACTTTGAGAGATGATGTTTCCTATCTTAATGGTAAACATTCCATTTTCGGGTAAGTTCCTATCGTTGGTGATCTCCGAAATATCCGGCATGCTGGAGGTACGTTCCTGAGGGTGACGGGGATGACGTACTTCGGAAGATCAACGAGGTGTTTGTTGACGAGGAGAACCATCCTTACAATCCGATCCGCATCAAACATACCGCGGTAGTGTAGGAGAGTTCTCCTATCGCA